GTTATCAGCACCAGAACAGTGAAGCAAAGAAACAGATTCCTGAGTTTATGTTAGTAATTGTATTTATTAGGTGCATCTGACCTGTTCTAGTTTTCTCTGAAATGAGATCAGACCAGTGCTTCTATGGGTCGTCTCCTCTCTGCACTAGAAACATGTACTTTATTATAATGTTCACTGTAATGCATCTTGATGTTCTTAACAATACATTACATCAAAGATATTGGTCAATAATGCCTAATATGTACATTTGTGTTTCAGTCATTTTTATACTGGCTTAAAAATACTTCATTAAGTCTACTAAGCAGGGGTGTAGAAGGTGTTTAACAGGGCCAGCCCACTAATGGTCTTGGACCTAAATAAAGGGGGCAGAAAGTCAGACAAAGGGGGCAGAAGGAGATGTTTTTCCAGACGCCCAGAAAAATGTCACCCCCCACCCACCCCCCCACCCCCGCAAAGTGTGTCACTGATAGTTTAAAACAAAATTATGGTATTTTTCTGCAAATATTGGTGTATTCACCTTTAATACAAGTTATTAAGATGCAGCAGGTGCTGGATTGGTGCAGTTCAACGTGGAGTGTGTTTAATAAAACAATATTAACATAAAGGTGAGACGTGTCATAATCCCCCCCCCCCCCCCCCCCCCCACAGCTGGAATAATTCCTGGGGAAAACATTGCACTCACACACACAGCCTGAAGCGCAGACTAAGGACAGATTGAGGCAGAACATCATGCGTGTGGGACAGTGTGTGTCCTGTCACTGTGACCCGATTGATCATGCGCCCTGGCTACAAGAACAGGGGAGATCTCCGTTTGGGTGACTGGTTGGTGCGCGTGACTTTCACCCGGGAGTCTGGGGATCGAATCCTGATTGGACCATTGTTTATATCCGCCACAGATCTCTCTGAAGAAGTCAGCATTGACGGCTTCAGCAACGCTGTGCCACTCCTTGGATTTTCTCTTATTTGTTTTTGCAAAAGCACTTCCTTTCATTTCTCCACCTCACCCACAGGTACCTCAACTTCTGCTCGTGAAATAGCGCTTCCTTGATCTGCCTTTATCTACGGTCGCCATGTCATTGGCGGAGCGCTGCAACAGCCGGCTTATGTATATGCATGAGATCCACAAGGCACTTTGCATTGACCATTTATGGCAGTAAGTGGGCGTGGTGAGGGGGGGTTGTGACTAAAAAGCAGCTGAGAAACATTCTGGTTAGTCTCTGATTTATGAAGCGGAGATTGCGTGCAGCTGTGCGTCCTCCATGTTTGATAGGTCACACACCTGCTTGGCGTTAGGGTTAGGAATTGAATAGCCCTGATCTAAATTGTCCACGTTTTAGATGTCAATCATATGATCCACATCATTGACACTGAGCACCCTTGGGATGTCTTCTCCATTAACTCTGGACATGCTGAGGTCATTTCCTGTCTGGAGTGGGACCAGTCAGGTGAGTTTCACAGACATGTCAGCCTTTTATTTTGGACATGGGGATGTTTTAACATTGAGTTTTGTGAAGGTTCAAGGCTGCTGTCAGCTGATGGGGACGGTCACATTAAGTGCTGGTCTATGTCGAATCACCTAGTCAACACCTGGAAGAACATGCTGTCCAGTTCTGTGGACGGAGACCCCATCGTTGCTCTGAGCTGGCTGCACAATGGTGTCAAACTGGCGCTGCACGTGGAGATGGTGAGGTCTTCAGGGTAATATGTTGGTGCTTACACATTAGTGTCCGCACGCCCCCAAAAGGTACCGAACAGCACCGGAATTTGGTTTCACACACAGGTCCGATTTGTGTTTCTGGTGCCAAGGCGACTCTTTCTCTCAGACCTTCTCCCCAGCAGTCAGACTGAGGTGACACTTCGGACTGATTGGTTGGCTAAAATTACGCCTACCACCTCCGATCGGCGAGCAGAATGAGCCAGCGGGGGGGGGGGTCCCGCATGCGCAATTTGTTTTCATGCTGTTGAGTAAACTTCTGTCTGTAGCACGAAGCTGCTGCTGAGTGTGGGAACAGGAGAAGAGTAGCTCTGTGTGTGTGTGTGTGTGTGTGTGTGTCACAAGATTATGAGGACACACAGCAAATAAAATAATCCAGGTGTGGATTTATATGTGAACCCTTCACCACCCTTTTGAGACCGAACTCACGCCATCCAGCCCGACCTTGCTGACGGTAATGTGTAAGCGCCATAGGATCCCGAGGAAACTGCAGGGCGAGTAAACGTGACATCCTGTCTTGCTGTGTCCTCCCGCAACAGTCTGGTTCCACAAACTTTGGAGAGAAGTTCTCTCGAGTGAAGTTCTCTCCGTCTCTGACTCTGTTTGGCGGGAAGCCGATGGAGGGTTGGTTGGCGGTGACCGTGAGTGGATTGGTGACTGTGTCACTCCTGAAGCCAGGTGGCGCTCTGCTCACCGCCAGTGAGAGTCTTTGTCGGCTGAGAGGACGTGTGGCGCTGGCTGATATTGCCTTCACCGGAGGAGGAAACATCGTGGTGGCAGCTACCGATGGCAGCAGCTCCTCCCCCATTCAGTTCTACAAGGTAAGAAAGGGATGCGGTGACCACTCACGACAGTCACTAGTAAAGTAAGCAGTTTGGTTGTGTTTCAGGTGGTGGTGAGTGTGGTGAGCGAAAAGTGTCGCATTGACACCGAACTGCTGCCGTCACTCTTCCTGCGCTGCACAACCGACCCAATGAGGCGAGACAAGTACCCGACTGTCACCCACTTGAAGTTCCTGACCAGAGAGAACTCCGAGCAGGTGACCAGTACCACCAGTAGGGTCAGTGTTTGATGAGGAGCTGTGCTCTGATGGCTCGGCTCTGTTTCAGGTGCTGCTGTGTGCGTCCAATCAGAGCGGCAGCATCGTGGAGTGCTGGTCACTGAGGAAGGAGGGACTTCCTGTTAACAACATCTTCCAGCACCGATCGCCCGTTGGTAAGAACAGACACCCGTTCTACATTTCTGTTGGCAGAGTCCGCTCCCTGAGCCGGATTTATTGTGACCTTTGACCTCTTGTGTGCAGTCGGGGAGAAGCAGCCGACCATACTGAAATGGAGGATCCTGACCACCACCAGTGATCTGGAGCGAGTGTCGGCCGTTGCTTTGCCCAAACTGCCGATCTCCATCTCCAACACTGACCTGAAGGTGGCGTCAGACACCAAATTCTGCCCCGGACTTGGTGAGCAGAACCCAGCAGTAAAACGTGCAGCAGGACTGCTTCACAATCAGTTATTCAGGTGCATGGTGACCTGAACGTGGTGACATCTTCTGGTTCATAGGTCTTGCTCTGGCCTTTCATGATGGTAGCATTCAGATCCTTCACCGACTCTCCCTCCACACCATGGGGGTTTTCCATGGCTCCTCCTCCACACAGCGGCCTGGAGATGAAGCCACCATCAAACGCCAGAGGACCACAGGCCCCGGCCTGCACTTCAAGGCTCTGCAGTTCTCCTGGACGTCTTTGGCTCTGGCTGGAGTGGACAACCACGGCAAAGTGAGTCAGCATGCCTGGATAGCTAGCTACATACGGCCTGGTCTAGGGCTGCGGAGTGAGGTGCATTAGCGTTTATATCCATATAAATATTCTTTCTGCCGCCTGCCGCTGTGTCTCCGTCTCTGAATGTTAACGCTGACGTTAGCTTCACGAGGGAGAAACCCACACGCATTGACACGTCATTTTCGTCCACGAATAAAACGCTTGCTCTGTATTTTTGTACTCCTCCGGTCACGGGCTAATAGACGTTCATGTTTTCAGACTTTTTCTGCGATGCATTCTTCAGTCTTTTCTGGGTCTGCCGCCAAATATTTTTTAAATTTTTGATGGGCAACGGCGGTGCTGGTGACAGTATTACAGGAAGCGGCGTCCTGACCAATCACAGGCTTGCAGTCTCCGTCATTCTCGACGGACATTTAAAAATGTGGGCATGTCTCCGTCAGCCTCTATGAGCCCGTGGGAGAGGCGTTGCGCCGACGCATAATGGTGTTGCGTGTCTCCGCACCAACGCAGACGGAGACGTGTACATCGGGCGTAGGCAGTCATCTGCTGTCACGCATCCAGCTGATCGTTTGCCGACGAAACCTTTAGAAAGTGTGTGTAGACTCAGTCGTCCAGCTTCAGCCGGGACAGCCGGACTTTTATCAGAAGAAAGGGTTATAGAAGGTCTTCTCTACATCTCTGGGTTAATGTTCCACCCTAATCGTTATTATGTTAGAAAGGTAAATGGCCCTCTAGGGTTCTGCAACCCCCCAAGGCACTTTGCCACTAACAGGCTGGTGGTGATGAGCTGCACCATAGCCACAGCTGCTCTGAGTCACAGAGGCGAGGGTGCCAGTCCCTCTGACCAGCAGGTAAGGAGGGTGAAGTGTCTCGCCCGAGGACACGACGACTATGAGTCAGCAATCCCCTACTTAGTGGTTTGGGGGCGTTGGTTCGTATCTCAGTGAGTCCTGCTGTGGCTGCCCATGTTGTTTTTCCTGTTTGTGTGGAGCGACGGGCCAAGCCCCTCCCCCTCGTGACCAGGTATCCAGGTAAAGATCGTGTGTCAGAATTCAGACACTGAGGTTTAAGTTTTGGTCCGTTAAACCGCTCCCTACCGTGGCTAAGTTTATTACAGACATGAAAGAAAATTCTGGTGTCAGGTGGACCTTGGAAACTCTGTTTCCATGGAAACCTGGTGCGACCCCTCCCAACTCCTAATGTGGTCATTCACGGTTAACTCCTGTTGACTCCTCAGCTGCACATGCTGCGAGTGTCCCCCTCCATGGGCCAGATGCTGGACATGAACACAACGCTGCGCCACCTGCTGTTCTTGCTGGAGTACTGCATGGTGACCGGCTACGACTGGTGGGATGTGCTGCTCCATGTGCAGCCCAACATGGTGCACAACCTAGTGGAGAAGCTGCATGAGGAGTACATGAGGCAGAACCAAGCCCTGCAGCAGGTAAGCAGGCTAGTCGTTGGCTTTTGACGGTGCTGTGTGCAGGAACCACTGAACGTTAGGTTCTGAGGGTTCTAACGAGGCTGGGCGGGGTCGGAGGTGCTCTGGTCTTCCATAGGCCGTTCCACCACAGTGGGACGACTCAGGAAAAGAATCTGGACGGTCTCGGGTCGTGTGTGTCCCCCACCACCACATCCAGCAGTGTCATCACACCAGCAATCAAGAACAACACCCAAGTTGTCTTCCTTATGATCTATAACCTGAGCGTTACTTTACACAGGTGTTGGCCACTCGAATCGTAGCCGTCAAGGCGTCTCTTTGTAAACTCTCTACTGCAACAGCAGCACGGGCGTGCGACTTTCATGCCAAACTGCTGCTCATCGCCATCAGCTCCACCCTAAAGTCTCTGCTTCGGCCGCATGTCCTCAACACGCCTGACAAGAGTCCGGGCGATCGCCTGACGGAGATCTGCGCCAAAAACAGTGACACAGGTGAGACGGAGCTGGAGGAGAGCAGTGATAGGGTGACGGAGCAAGGCTGATCTCTGGTGTCCGCTTCTCCTCAGATATTGATAAGGTGATGATCAATCTGAAGACAGAGGAGTTTGTTCTGGATGGACCTCCCCTTCAGTCCCTGCAGCAGCTCATCCAGTGGGTGGGAGACTTTGTCCTTTACCTGCTGGCCAACCTTCCCAACCAGGTGAGCTAACCAAAATGTCTCCAGTACCCAGAGGTTGCTTCTGCTTTCTTTAGAAAGTGCTGCGTTCATCATCACAGTCCAGGTTCTCGCTTCAGCACGACATGAGCAGGCGGGGTCACGTAAGGCCATTGTGCTTGTGCTGCTGTCTCGACAGGGCTCTATGGTCCGGCCTGGGTTTGGCTTCATGAGGGACGGGGCGTCTCTGGGAATGCTGAGGGAGATGCTGGTGATGATCAGGATCTGGGGTTTGCTGAAACCTGGCTGCCTCCCCACCTTCACGGCCACATCAGACAACCAGGACAGCATGCAGCTGCTGTTCAGATTACTCACCAAGCTGTGGCTCTGCTGTAAGTGGTGTTGGTTTCGTTTCTGTTCTGGTGAGCTGGACATCACCAGAGTAGTAGTTCAGGCAGACGTGACCGCTCCACCGGCATTGAATCGCTTTAAATGATAGATAAATGAGAAATGACCCGCAGCTGCACATTGCCTTTCTGAGTCAGCGGACTCCAAAGTGCTTTACCCTACAGCGTACCATTCATCCAGTCACACACTGGTGGTGATAGGCTACAAACCGCAGCGCAGGGCCTGCCACCGCTCCCTCTTACCACCACCAACAGGGAGGGAGGGGTAAATGCCTTGCCCAAGGAGGTTTCTCTGCCGAGCGCCGCGATCAATTCTGCAACCCTCCAACTGCTGGATAACGTGCTGTACCTCCTGAGCTTCTGCAAAAAGTCAAGTCTTCATCAAAGATCCCAGTAAACATGAAGACCCACCGCTGGGGTCAGAGGTCATCACAGACAGTACACTGAGCGCGAGGGCTTTGATGCCGCCTGCCTAACGGCTGCAGTACACAAGCAAGAGAAAAAAGGAAGAAGAATATAAGATTACAAGTAAATACCTGTTTACCTGTAATCTTGTTATCAGAACCAGAAGGTTTTTTACCAAATGTGTGAGAAATCACAACATTAGGAGGAGAAGAACAGAAGATCTTTTCTGTTTCACCTCAAGATAAAAATCACGAGGCACTTCTCTCACAAGGAGATTGTTGCAGTACGTGGTGGGATTGATGCCGGACCAAGTCCCCACGGTGGGATTAATGTCGGAACACGTCCCCACGGTGGGATTAATGCCGGACCACGTCCCCACGGTGGGATTAATGCCGGAACACGTCCCCACGGTGGGATTAATGCCGGACCACGTCCCCACGGTGGGATTAATACCGGACCACGTCCCCACGGTGGGATTAATGCTGGACCACGTCCCCACGGTGGGATTAATGCCGTAGGACGCTCCCACGGTGGGATTAATGCCGGACCACGTCCCCACGGTGGGATTAATGCCGGAACACGTCCCCACGGTGGGATTAATGCCGGACCACGTCCCCACGGTGGGATTAATACCGGACCACGTCCCCACGGTGGGATTGATGCCGGACCACGTCCCCACGGTGGGATTAATGCCGGACCACGTCCCCACGGTGGGATTAATACCGGACCACGTCCCCACGGTGGGATTAATGCCGTAGGACGCTCCCACGGTGGGATTAATGCTGGACCACGTCCCCACGGTGGGATTAATACCGGACCACGTCCCCACGGTGGGATTAATGCCGTAGGACGCTCCCACGGTGGGATTAATGCCGGACCACGTCCCCACGGTGGGATTAATGCTGGACCACGTCCCCACGGTGGGATTAATGCCGTAGGACGCTCCCACGGTGGGATTAATGCTGGACCACGTCCCCACGGTGGGATTAATACCGGACCACGTCCCCACGGTGGGATTGATGCCGGACCACGTCCCCACGGTGGGATTAATACCGGACCACGTCCCCACGGTGGGATTGATGCCGGACCACGTCCCCACGGTGGGATTAATGCCGGACCACGTCCCCACGGTGGGATTAATACCGGACCACGTCCCCACGGTGGGATTGATGCCGGACCACGTCCCCACGGTGGGATTAATACCGGACCACGTCCCCACGGTGGGATTAATACCGGAACACGTCCCCACGGTGGGATTAATGCCGGACCACGTCCCCACGGTGGGATTAATACCGGACCACGTCCCCACGGTGGGATTGATGCCGGACCACGTCCCCACGGTGGGATTAATGCCGGACCACGTCCCCACGGTGGGATTAATACCGGACCACGTCCCCACGGTGGGATTAATGCCGTAGGACGCTCCCACGGTGGGATTAATGCTGGACCACGTCCCCACGGTGGGATTAATACCGGACCACGTCCCCACGGTGGGATTAATGCCGTAGGACGCTCCCACGGTGGGATTAATGCCGGACCACGTCCCCACGGTGGGATTAATACCGGACCACGTCCCCACGGTGGGATTAATGCCGTAGGACGCTCCCACGGTGGGATTAATGCTGGACCACGTCCCCACGGTGGGATTAATACCGGACCACGTCCCCACGGTGGGATTAATGCCGTAGGACGCTCCCACGGTGGGATTAATGCCGGACCACGTCCCCACGGTGGGATTAATGCTGGACCACGTCCCCACGGTGGGATTAATGCCGTAGGACGCTCCCACGGTGGGATTAATGCCGGACCACGTCCCCACGGTGGGATTAATGCTGGACCACGTCCCCACGGTGGGATTAATGCCGGACCACGTCCCCACGGTGGGATTAATGCCGGAACACGTCCCCACGGTGGGATTAATGCCGGAACACGTCCCCACGGTGGGATTAATGCTGGACCACGTCCCCACGGTGGGATTAATGCCAGACCACGTCCCCACGGTGGGATTAATGCTGGACCACGTCCCCACGGTGGGATTAATGCTGGACCACGTCCCCACGGTGGGATTAATGCCGGACCACGTCCCCACGGTGGGATTAATGCCGTAGGACGCTCCCACGGTGGGATAAATGCTGGAACAAGTCCCCACGGTGGGATTAATGCCGGACCACGTCCCCACGGTGGGATTAATGCCGTAGGACGCTCCCACGGTGGGATTAATGCCGGACCACGTCCCCACGGTGGGATTAATGCCGGACCACGTCCCCACGGTGGGATTAATGCCGGACCACGTCCCCACGGTGGGATTAATGCCGTAGGACGCTCCCACGGTGGGATTAATGCCGGACCACGTCCCCACGGTGGGATTAATGCCGGACCACGTCCCCACGGTGGGATTAATGCTGGACCACGTCCCCACGGTGGGATTAATGCCGGACCACGTCCCCACGGTGGGATTAATGCCGTAGGACGCTCACTACATCCATTGCTGAAGGATTTTCTCTTCTGAGACAACTTAATGCTGCCTCATCCTGCACAGTCTTCACATTACGTGCCATGTGAAGCTAGAGGGTCCAGGAGGTGGAGCGGGTTGTCCAGTAATCGGAAGGTTGCAGGTTTGATTCCAGCTCTGACCAGAGAATGCTGCTGTTGTGTCCTTGGGCAAGACACTTTGCCTGCTGTTGGTGGTCAGAGGGACCGGTGGCGCCTGTGCTTGGCAGCCTCGCCTGTCAGTGTGCCCCAGGGCAGCTGTAGCTACATCGTAGCTCATCCCCACCAGAGTGTGAACGTGTGTGTGAATGGGTTAGGGTTAGGGTTAGCCCTAACCCTAACCCATGGGTGGATGACTGACGGTGTTGTGAAGCACCTTGGGGGGTTGTAGAACCCTAAGAGGGCGCTAACAGGCCATTTACCGTGTACAGACACACACCACCTCCACACTCAGTACAAGCAAATCATTCAATCATTTCATTCATTCACAAACAACTCACCCTCTGTCAGGAGAACAGAAAGCTACGTACACGATGCATCCAGTTCCAGCTGAGAGAACAGGGCCGACACTTTTAGTGATGACCAATAATACCATCATCCTCAGCTCAGCGTTTCCAGTCCACAGGTTTTTATACGGTTGCACAGAAAATGTCATAGTGGTGTAGAAGACTCACATCTTTATTCCACATGTTCACGTTTGTCATTTTCATTTATTCGTATTTAGGCTGCAAGGCATTTTTTGCACATTTGCTTTCAGATGTTCTGACATTTTGCTTAACAAAGTAAAACAAGCATTCTGGTAAAGAACGCTGTGCAGTGACTATAAGTCATTACTGAATAAAAGTGCTTTCTTCACCATTAACCATTTAGAAAATGCAGCTGAACTCACATACCATCGTCCCACATTAGTTCCCCCCTCCCTCCTGACAACACTCAGCCTTTTATGGATCAAGGTGCAGGTTGAGATCACAGCATGCCCTGTAGGTCGCTTTGGATAAACACAAACATAAACACAGTTCTGGGGCAGAACCGGCTCTTCTACGGAGAGGAGCGCCGGTGTCTGCAACGCCAACAGCTGATCCCCGGTGTAAACAATACATCCATGAATGGAGCCAGAGCAATTTCCCAGTGCATTCCCAACAAGTTCAGAAACCAATAAAAAATGAGCAGAAATTACACTAAAGCACTCCTGATGGTATGGCGGAGGAACAAATGCCCACAATAAGGACATTAAAACATGCAACACAACACAAGCACTGAGTAACAGTAGGAGTTCAGACGCTGCTGCACCAGGATGACGAATGGGGAACCTGTCGGTCATCATGGAGAGAATTGTTTGAGGGGCTCGGTGGACCTTTCCATTTGTGTACTTTTTGATCATTTTGTGTGACTTTCATTTCTTTCTTTTATAGATTCAAGTTTACATTCCTAACCCTGATTTACGTTTGATCCAGTACAGCGGGGCGGGTGGGATTGGGGCTTATGTTTTGCCTGCTCTGTATTAGATATCTAGCAGCAGATTGGAGACCCAGATAGAAAAATCTGATTTAAATGGGGCATAATGGGAAATGCCAATTTGGAGGTGGGGTGAATGAGAGACAAATGTGTTAAAGTCTGAAATACAGAAACACAAAAGTGCATACACTACCAGCGCTACACACTGTTGTCCTGAGAAACACCACCCAGGTGGCGGAGGAGTCTGAAGGTGTGTGCTGCACTCCACCACACAGCTGAGCTGATGGAGGTGTATTTGTCAGGTCTCAGGCTGCTGCCCCCGACCCTGAACCATATAACTGAGCAGAAACCGTCTGACTCGCACCTGGTCTGAAGGTCCTCAGGTGCAGCTGACATGGTGGCTTGATGGATTTGTGACGGTGCTGCCTGTCCCAGTGCATTGTGGGACTTGGTATTTTCTAAATGCTGGTCAGCTGTGATGTATCTTCTGTTCCAGGCCTTTGATACGTACCTTACAGTAACACGTGCAGCAGGTTTAACAAAGTTTGGCCTTCCTGTTTTCTGGTCCTCAGCACGAGACGATAGCCCCCCCCAGGAGCCTGACGAAAGCCTGATAGATGAGTGCTGCTTGCTGCCCAGTCAGCTCCTGGTTCCCAGTATGGACTGGCTCCCAGTAAACGATGGTGTCATCGTAAAGCTGCAGGGAAAACACCCACTCAGGCTCCAGTTTGGAAAAGTGTCATCTTTAACAGGAGCAGGAAGCACTGCCCCCCTGGAAGTGTTTGCTAGGTAAAGCTCACCTGGCCTGTCAGGGTGGACTGGTGAACCAGCAGATGGAATGATGTGTGTTTGTGTTC